ATTTTCACAATATTGATTCTTCCAATCCAAGAACATGGTACATCTCTCCATCTATTTGTGACATCTTTGATTTCTTTCATCAGTGTCTTATAGTTTTTTGAGTACTGGTCTTTTACCTCATTAGGTAGGTTTATTCCTAAGTATTTTATTCTTTTTGTTGCAATGGTAAATGGGAGTGTTTCCTTAATTTCTCTTTCTGATCTTTTTTTGTTATTGTATAGGGATGCAAGAGAATTCTGTGCATTAATCTTGTATCCTGCAACTTTACCAAATTCGTTGATAAGCTCTAGTAGTTTTCTGGTGACAACTTCAGGATTCTGTATGTATAGTATCATGTCATCTGCAAACAGTGACAGTTTAACTTCTTCTTTTCCAATTTGTATTCCCTTTATTTCTTTTACTTCTCTGATTGCCGTGGCTAGGACTTCCAAAACTATGTTGAATAACAGTGGCGAGAGTGGACATCCTTGTCTTGTTCCTGATCTTAGAGGAAATGCTTTCAGTTTTTCACCACTGAGAATGATGTTTGCTGTGGGTTTGTCATATATGGCCTTTATTATGTTGAGGTATGTTCCCTCTATGCCAGCTTTCTGGAGAGCTTTTATCATAAGTGGTGTTGGATTTTGTCAAATGCTTTTTCTGCATCTATTGAGATGACCATAAGGGGCATGTACTTTAATGTGGTTGATAATTTTAATCACATCCTGCAAAACGTTGTTAAATTCAGGTGACATTTTTTGGCTAGCCAGCATTTCTCTATGGATGACACAGTGCATAGATTCACATTCAGAGGCAACCTCTTTGACCTGAGTCGTGAAACAAGAAAGACCTCCAGTCGTGGCAGCCACTCCGTCTGTGCATATACCAACACAAAATGACCAATTCAGTTTTCCTGATATGTAATAATTCAAAGACTTGAATAGTTCTGCAGCTGTGGTATTGGTTGGCAACAAAAGTGCACATAACACATTCTCATGCACATCCTCCTGGAAGAGATATCCCACAAAAACAAGCAATTGTTGCCTTGTTGTCAACATCGGTAGACTCATCAACCTGGACTGCATACCATGGTGACTCATTAATTCTAACAGTTGTGCCTCAATATCCTCTGCTATTTCATCAATTTGTCTACTTATGGTGTTGGCCGAAAGAGGAACACATGCCACCTTTTGAACTGCAGCCTCTCCTAAAAGTTCACAACAAATGTCCTTAGCAGCAGGCAGGATCAACTTTTCACCAATAGTAAAGGGCTTCTTAGCTTTAGCAATGCAGTTAGTCATTAAGAATTATGCTCTCAGTGCCGACACATTTGATGAAGTGGTGGCTTTCAATAATCGCTTCTGTTCTTTGTGTTCACGTTTGTTTCTTTTGAAAAACTCCAAAGGCTTGTCTTTTAATGCATGGTGCTTGGTCTCCACGTTTGGCTAGGGTTAGCTTGTGGGCTTACCAAAACTGTGACTGAGACAAGTGTGCAGTGTGGGAAAGAGGTGTGGATGGAAGTGGTAAATAAAATAATGGGCAAGCCACACACAGACTAAAATAAGTGTCGGATTCTGACTTAAAACCTGCCACCAGATGCAGTTGTACTATTGAAGTACATCAACTCACTTGCCCCTATAAAGCCTGCCACCAGATGCAGTGTAATTGTCACTTGCCACTCAGTGATAGGGCTTTGATATGAGTCTGCAAGCAATTGATTTATTATGGTCTCTGTGCAGTCAAACCTCTCTGCTAATGATAATCTGTATTTGCAGCCACTCCCCAGTGCTAGCATCACCACCTCAGCTCCACCTCAGATCATCAGGCATTAGATTCTCATAAGAAGTGCACAACCTATATCCCTCACGTGCGCAGTTCACGGTAGGGTTTGCACTCATATGAGAATCTAATGCCACTGTTGATCTGACATGAGGCGGAGCTCAGGAGGTAATGCAAGTGATGGGGAGAGGCTGTAAATACAGATGAAGCTTAGCTCGCTCGCCTGCTGTTCACCTCTTGCTATGTGGCCCTGTTCCTAACAGGCCATGGACCAGTACCATTCTGTGGCCCAGGGGTTGGGGACCCCTGACATAGAACACTTGGAGAGAAAACATATTCTGCATCATCAAGTATAAGGCAAGAGACCCACCTGGTGCCATTCATCCATCCATCCCACATTCGTTGATTGATTTAACTCAATATTTCTGTGCTAGGTGCACATTGCAAAGGGCACATGCTTAGAAAGGACAAAGCTGGAGTCAGGTAGCTCCTGACCCCTCGTCTGCACCTCTAACCTCAAGCAGGTGTGTTGATTCCATAGGACCACCCCCAAAGAGTTAATGCCATTCTGACTGACCTGGCACACATAAAGCTCCATTTAGCATCAAGTTCATTGGTGCTGACCTAGAACTGTGACAGGAGACTGACCCCAATGTCCTGTCCCTCTGCGACTGGGTTAGGGGCAAGAACGAGAGGGAAGGAACAGGACTGTAAAAATAATGACACAGTCTTAGATCACAAGTGTGGTGCAGTTGAAAAACCCAAGGGACTTTGGCTTTTATCAATGTACACAACAAACTCCAGCTCATATTTATGGAGCACTTACTACATGTGGGGCACTGGTTTAAGCCCTTTACCTGCATAGTGTGAAGAGTGTGTGTTTTGCAGTTCAGACGTCTGTGTGAATACTGGCTTACCACTCATTAGCTGTGTGACTTTGGGCAAACTGCTTAGCCTCTCTGTGCCTCCATTTCTTTGCCTGGAAAATAGGGTAATACCAGTACTAACTTAATAAGGTCCTCATAAAAGTTAAATGACTAAAAATATAAAATGCTAAAATTGAGCCATGTCCTGGCACAGAGTAGCCACTCGGTACTAAGATGAACAATCATGATCCTATTAGTTAATCACACTTCTCTGCAGAGAAGGCAGACTATTTCTTCCTATTTTGTTAATAAGGCTTTGAGAGACTGAGTCAATGTGCTCAAGGTCACAGAGTTAAGTGGCAGAACTAGGATTTGAATGCAGGCAGACTGGCTCCAAAGTCAGCAAGCTTAACCACCAGCATGAGGACAGCACTGTGCTAGGTCCAGGTTCAAAGAAACAAGTCAGGGGATGAACAAGAGATCCCTATACAGAACAGTAAACACTGTAAGAAAGAGACACTGAAAGAAAAAATGGGGAAGGATGGCTGGTGCTAGGGTAGCAGGGAGGGACAGAACCGAACCATCTGCAGGAACTGAATAATGCTTCATCCAGCAGGGGACTTGAGCTCTAGTCTCAAAGAATAATAAGCAATTTGTCAGCCACGGAGAAAGAAGGGCATTCCAAAAAGTCAACACCTAGAATACCAGAAGAATAGTGAGTTGGGTGGAATGGAAAGTGTGCATACAGGAAGTGTCATAAGGTGAGGCTGGGAAGGTAAGTTGAGGCCAGTGTGAACAGGCATGTAGGCCAATGTCTGTGGTTAGATTTTGTTCTGTAAGACAGTGATTCTCAAACTTTAATATGCACAGGATCTACCTCTGGTGCTTGGAAAACATGTTCACATGTGCAGCTTCCCATCCCTTCTGTTGGGGGGTAGGGGCAACACTTACATGTTAACAGTCAAAAATGTTTCCAGACATTGCCAGATGTCATTTGGGAGGCAAAATCAAAACCCCAGTTAAGAGCCACTTCTCCCATCCCTACTTTACAGATGAGGAAATCCAGCCACAGAAAACTACAGAAAGTCCTCATCCAGGATTCAAATGCTGGAGGTCCCACTCCAGGGTCCGGGTTAGCCAACAAGCCTAATAGCCTTTTGGGGAGAAAGACTCAAGCCAGCCTTCTGGGGAAGAATTACGTATTTGCTGACAGACTGGATGATGGGTAGAGGATGAAAGAGTAAGGCTCCAAGGTGAAACTTCAGTGCTTGTCACTGAATTGTGAGGATAGTAGGTACTAAATAAATCATTTGGATTTGAATAGAACCAAGATGTATTTGCTCAAAATGGAAAAAGCCTGGTTCCTCATGGTATGACCCAGCGGTAGGTGTTGGGATTCTGCTCAGACTGCACAGAGGAACTCTCTGTAGGGCTAGGTGTGGGTTGTGTGGTACAAACCAGCTGATTCACAAATCCTGGCTGGGCCCCTTCCCAGGTATGTGACCCCGGTAGCATTATTTAACCTCTGTGTGCCTCATTTTGCCCCTACTCAGACGGGCACAGAGGTTAAAGTAGGGATAGGAGTCCCTACTCAGAGCCTTAATATGAGCACTCAGGCAGTTAATAAGAGCAAAATGGCAAGGTAGCACGAAGTTTCCTCGCCTATCCTTCCAAGCCAGCCTCATTACCGTCACGCGAGTCCCACATCCAGTGTTCCTACCCACCCCCACACCCCAATCCTTGGGAAGCCCAGTCAGAGCTGCAAGAAGCTGACCGCGTCCCTCTCCACGAGCAGAGCGTCTCCCTGAGGATTTAAGGGGCGCCAACGACCTTGTCACTCCCCAATCCGCTTTGATTTCGGGGTCCCGGGGGTCGCCAAAAGCACGCGGCCAGCTGAGTGCCTCGAAAGGTAAATGAGATTGAAGAGAGCCATGGAAATTTCGGACAGATCCGCCTCCGGCAGGCCCGGGGTCAAAGCCAGTCACTGTCGCGGGCCCGCACGCTCAGCCCCTGGTCCCAGGGGCGGAGAAGGAGAGAGGCGCTGAGATTGGGGAAGGACTCGCTCTCGGAAGCCAGGCTGCATTAGCAAGGAGCAGACAGTTGTTGGGTCCAGAAAAAGGAGCCGGGGGGCGGGGGGAAGGGGCGGGGGAAGCAACAGGAAAGTAAGAGGAAGAGAGAGTAAAAGCAAGCGCTGGGAAGCAAAGTTCCCTGGGGGACCCAGGCTACAACACCTGGCAGGGGGTCAGGAACAAAGCAGAGGCTTCAGGTCAGAAGTGCTCTGGGTGTTTCCGAAGAAGGGGTGTTCCGGGCAGACCAGGGCCCGCTGGGGATGCCAGGAGCCCCTACGCCCTCAGCGCTCTCACCGGCGCCGCTTACCTTCGCCAGAGCCACCGACGCGCACTTCCGGGGTCCTTGCTCTGGGACCAGGAGCCGATCACTAAGGCGAGGACGCAACAAAGCTGTGGCCAGGCTTTGGACCGGCACTGGCGCCTCGGAAAGAAATCCCAGGGGAGACACGCCGAGGCGGGCGCGGGGCGCTGGGTCTTGGCCTGGGCGCTCACGGGCAGCGGTAGTGAGCCCCGCAGACGCTGAAGAAGCACGAGTCAGTGGGAGGAAAAGGTTGTCTCATTTCCTTCGGTCTTCCCCCTCCACTCCACCCACTCCGCTCCGGACCTGCCCTCCCTCCCCCCTCCCCCCTCCCCAAGCCAGTGGCCCATGTGGGCTCTGGAAAGACACGAAACTTCAATGGCTGCCGCAAGCGGCGCCTCCCTCCGCGTCCAGTTAGTTCTAGCTCCGGAACTCCAGCCTGACCCGCGCACTTCTATGGAAGTTTCTCCATCGGCTGTCCGCGGGCTCTTGCCTTTCCCGCTGCGGGGACGAGCCCATATTTGAAAGCAGACCTCCAAGCTGCTTCCAGCATCCATCCTCTCCTTCCTGTCCCATCACCTGCTCTGAGCCCTTTTTTTGTTGTTTGTTTTTTTGTTTGTTTGTTTTTTTGGTTTTTGTTTTGTTTTGGCCGTGCTGCAGAGCATATCTTAGTTCCTCCCAGGAGGGATGGAAACCAGTGTCCCCTGCAGTGGAAGCTTGGAGTCTCAACCACTGGACCGCCGGGAAGTCCCTGAGCCTATATTAAGCTACAGGAAATAATACTTACTTTGTTAAATTTGATCGACTTTTTTTCCTCCAACTGGAGAATTTAAAACCTAAAACATAATTTCGAAGGATTGTTCATTTTGATCCGAAGGAGAGCAGCTGAGGTCTTTGGCCTTACTCATTCAGAGTTGGGGTTTTCTTTCTTAAATTGAACACCTACTTTATTTAAGAGCCTGATAGGTGCTGAGCTGGGCTCTGGGAACTTAGAAAAGAACCAATAGGGCATGTCGCTCCTAGACAATCGTCATATGTAACTAGTGCGGGCAGAGAAGAGGTCCAGGGATTCTGTGGTCTCTTAAGGGATAGGGCAAGGACTGGAAGAGCTTCCCACAGAGTAAAAACGGCGTGCACAGAGCCAAGGAGGAATGGGAAAGCCGCATCAGGAGGCGGTCTAGCAGAGAACACAGCCAGGATGGGGAGTGATGGTGGGTGAACATGGAGAATGTTGACCAGTCTGCCGAGAAAGGACAGGAGCTGTAGAGAACAGCGGGGTGGAGTTGACGAGAAATAGTGACCAAGAGCTGATAGGGTGCAGATGAGTGGATGAAGGAAAGAGGTAATTTCCAGGCCTCTGGCTGGAGTACCTACTGAGTGACCAGTGGATAACCAGAATCCAGAGCATCTTCTGGAGATGCTATTCCAAGTGTGGTCTGGGGACTGACAGTATTTTTTTTTTTTTTTTTTTTTTTGCAGTACGCGGGCCTCTCACTGTTGTGGCCTCTCCCGTTGCGGAGCACGGGCTCCGGATGCGCAGGCTCAGCGGCCACGGCTCACGGGCCCAGCCGCTCCGCGGCATGTGGGATCTTCCCGGATCGGGGCACGAACCCGTGTCCCCTGCATCGGCAGGCGGACTCAACCACTGTGCCACCAGGGAAGCCCGGGACTGGCAGTATTAACATGAACTGGGAGCTTGTTAGAAGTGGGAAATTTCCAGCCCCACTTAACCTACTGAATCAGAATCTGAATTTTAACAAGATCCCCAGATAATTCAAATGTGCATTAGAGTTTTGGAAGCACTGATCTCTAGACCACTGTGTATTAGAATGACTGGATATTAGACTGTGGAGCCCTGACCATACTTTAGAAACACGTGGAGAGCTTTAAAAACCAATATGAGTGGGCTTCCCTGGTGGCACAGTGGTTGAGAGTCCGCCTGCCGATGCAGGGGACATGGGTTCGTGCCCCGGTCTGGGAAGATCCCACATGCCGCGGAGCGGCTAGGCCCGTGAGCCATGGCCGCTGAGCCTGTGCGTCCAGAGCCTGTGCTCCGCAATGGGAGAGGCCACAACAGTGAGAGGCCCGCGTACCACAAAAAAGAAAAAAAAAAAAACCCAATATGAGGCCCCTGGTCCCACAAATGCATATTTAATTGGTCTGGGGTAGGGCTCCAAAATCAGTATTCTCAACATGATGTTCAGATGATCTAATGCAATTAGAGTTAAGAACCACTGTTCTAGGCTTATTCAAATGCTATTTCATTTAACCTTAAAATGCACCTCTTCAGAAAGAAAAAGAACACCTATGTGTAAGTGAAAATGTAAAGACTAGTTATCTCCCTCTCATACAGAGGCAAGTGGTCTGCTGGAAAGGGCCCTTTATTCCTAAACTAATCAGAACCAGATTCTAGCCTCAGATGGCCACTAAAGTACTGTCTGAACTTGGGGCAAGTACTCCCCTCTCAGGCCTCAGTTTTCTTATCTGTAAAATGCACACATGACCAACTCCAGATTTCACCCACAAGGTGCCATGATCAGAGCTCCTCCTAACTCTCTAGCTTTATCAGAAGGCAGATGGAAAAGTGATACTGAGAAGTGGGTTTTCCTGGTGTAACACTATTCGTACCAGCCTGGTGCAACTGCCACGCATAAACACCAGAGATCAGAGAATTGTGTGCTGAGCAAGGGCAACACACATAAGTGATGCTCAGTAAATGTGTACTAAGTATATAAATAAATACATGAATGAATAAATAACAGTCGGTGGCATAGACTTTCCATGGATTGGCCCTAACCCAGAACATATTCACTTGCTTCCTAATCTAGAGGAAGGAGTCTGAAATTTGGAAGCACTCTGACCCATGAACCTAGCTTTGGATTTAAAACTACTACTATTAATAACTACTAACATTTGTTGAATGCCTAGTACACACCAGGCATTGGGCTGAATGCTCTGCTTAGGATAACCTCAATTCATTATAATGAAGAAGATACTGTTGAACCTCTGCTGTCCAACTGGTTTCAGGAATCACAGATATAACAGGATGAGAGCTGCCATCTAGGACAGCCTCTGCCTCTGGTTCTGCAACTGGGCATAAGTGGCCAGAGAGCCCTCTTGGGGGTCTTTGGGGTCACTCTCCAGAGAGATCAACCTGAGGGAAGGGCTTTGGAGTGACTGCTCCAGGGTCCTATAGAAACCAGTGCTCCCAGAAGCTATCTCAGGAGACCTGTGGACTATGGTTAAGCCTTGGACAGGAACTCTTCAACGCTACCCACTTCATGGTTGCATGTGTGTGCATTTACTGCCTTACTTACTTATAAGAGCCAAACCCGGCACCAGTCCTTTTCACATATATTTCTCTTAACCCTCACAGCATCCTGACATGTTAAGTACTCTTGTTTTCATTTTTTATAGATGAGAAAACTGAGATGTCATGAAGTGAAAATCTGTTTGTCCCTGCAATCCAAGTTTCTCAAGTGGTACACTTTGCTACCACCACTGTCTGCATGTACCACCACCGTTTTGCCGCCACCCTGCCACTTTGATAGAAAGGAGAGTCCTCATTTCAGGTCCCATTCACTTATTACAGTTACACATCATCAAAACTCTCTGTGACCCATTTTCCCACCTGTAAAATAAGTTGTCCTTGATTGCCCTTTTAATAAGACACTATGTGTGCTTTGATCCTCCATAGCCTGAGATGGGATGACAAGAGATAAACCATAGACTGTTACGAGAAACCAAATGTATGGGGGAGATTTATCCCAAAATGAGAGGGGCCAGTACTTCACTAATACCACAACTATCATAAAAGAGGGAATCCTCTATTTTCCATCTCTAGGGGGATATAACTAAAGCATAGCATTACATAGCATTTCAGACTTTAGATCAGATGTAAGGAGGAGCATTAAGTCCCTCTGCTAGACCGTGGCAGATGCTCAGGGGCTATCTTGTGAAGTTTCCCCTGGTTATGGGAGAGCTGGCTGCCCTTACGGCTGAAGTGGATAGGAACACAATCTGGGATTGAGATCCACAGGATGAGCCAGGCAGGAACAGAGGCAGGAGGGAGTCTATGTGCACAGGAACAGCCTCAGCTCCAGTTATAGGCAGGGGTGGGGAATTAGAAGTGGAAGAGTGTTCATCCCAGGAAACCAGGATATGAAGTAACTACTTCATGCCTGGGTCCAGGCCCAGGGCTGTGAACTAAGCTCTCAGTGTAAGCATTCTTGGTGATGTGTCAGCAGGCTTGGGCCTCCCTGCACAGTGTGCAGGGCTCCCAAGGCGCTGGTGGTAAGAGCAGGGCTCCACCATCCTGCACACTGGTGTCCTGGCCAGCAGCAGGACCTCTGACTCATGGAAGAGGTCTAGTCCCCAGAGCCCCTTCATTTAACACAAAAGAGAAGTGGTAGTTTTAACCCTCAGTGGCATTTCTTCAGCAGCACTAATGTCATGATGCTGGGATTTGGTAGGAGAATCCCTAAGTCCACATCATTGCTGAACCCTATCGATCAACTTTGACAAGTACCCCAGACACATTTCTGCTGCTTCCACTTCCTAAACTCCCATTTGTGTTTGCATGACAGCAATTTGATGATTTTACACAAAGCTCATTGCGGTGAATTTTTACTGGTACTGGTTTTTGCCTCAAACAAAAATATGACCCCAAACTTTGGTTATTTCCATTTTACAGATGAGGAAACTAAGGCACAGCACCCAAAAGGGGGACAACAAAACAAAACTGATCTACAAACTCAACTAAGGTAAGACCTTCAGGCCCCTGTGGTTTTGCCCCAAAATTATGAGCCACTTAAGGTACTACACAATTCCTGCAGTGGAATATGTCCAGATATGTCCTCACCCAAAATCATATGGCCCTGTGTAGCCTGTTTATCAATGCAGTTCAGTTTAACTGCCATTTCCTGGAGACCACCTGCCCTTCACAAGGAATTGTCCTAGACATTGTAGGTGACCTTACTGCACGTTACACTCAATCCTAACCTGGGGAATATTTTGAAATTACAAGCTGGGCTCTAGACCAGATCAATTGAATCATAATCTCTAGGTGTGGAGCCCATTTTTTTTAACCTCTGCAGATAATTAAAATGTACAGTCAGGATTAAGAACCACTTCCGTAGGAAATGCAGAGACGAAGCCTAGGTCCTAACAGATAAGGAGTTTGCACAGTAAGTGAGGCGCTCAGTTTAGTAATGGATGATCACCAAAAGTCATCAGGAAAAGGAAAATATCAAAATCTCTCTCTTGACCAAAGCATGTTAAGA